TCTTGTATTTATATTATATATATATATATATATATATATATAATACAGTGGGGAACGAAAATGTATAGAGAAATCTCGAAATTATATCTATAAAATTTGAAAATGATTCACCAATTTAGTTATAGTTATAATACTACAAAAGTATTCGAATGCTTTATGTATTCACAGTATTATTTAACATCGATATTTCGTTGGACCACGTTTGCTAATAATTTGTCTCGACGTTTCATACCGTGAACCAGTATAAATTTTGTAAAATTACAATCGATGGAATTCCATATTTCTGTAATTTTTTCTTCTTCGTTTATTAAAAAAAAATTGCAAATATAAACGTTCGAATTACTTTCGTTACCCACTGTATAAATTTCTTCTTTACGCAATATTTATCTTCAATTATTTTCCTCGTTACACAGTCGTCTCAAAAATTATATTTACTTATTAAAACGTTTTAATAAGAAATAATATTAAAACTATTAACACGATCGTCGCAACGAAACGCGGAGTAAGAACCGAATCGCACGGAAGCGTAAACTTGACTGCCGGCTTGCCTCATATACGCGTCTATATAGCATAAGAAAAATGTAAACACACTTGTACGTGTATATACGAGCGTAATGTCGGAACGAAATATCGTCGAAATGAAAACAAAGGCGAGTTAATAATAAACGGATTTCGCGTTTCGTACGATTTGTTGATTCGTCTCGTGCCAAATTTTCTCAATGATTTTCAATAGAAATTTAAAATTGTTCGTAGATTTTTTTCGCTCGAAACGAATAATCTTCTCGTTAAAAAGTGAAAAAATACCAAAATGAATTTCGATAACATCGATAATTTTGAGCGATCGAAATAATTCTTCTTTATCGAGGAGGAGGATTTTTGGACGTTAATAATCGTTACTTGAAAAAAAAAAATATTTTTTTTTCTTCTTTATATCAATGATTTTTATCCCTGTTCATAAATAATAAAGTTTCGTTGAATTAACGTTGTAATAGTGAGTAACGTTCACTTACAATTTATATTTTTCTTTTTTTTCTTTTTTCTTAATCTTTTCTCAGAAATTATTGTCGATATTTTTATTATTTAAGGTTTGAAAGAAAGTTTTGAATCCGCTCGATAATTTTCGAAAAAATGGTAAAAGCAACGTGTTTCGGATTCCTCGAATATCATCTCTGGGATCCCTCCTTAATGAAATATAGTTTACACAGGATAATACAAATTTTCACGTGATGCATATCGCGTATATAACGCAAACTAATTTTGCACGTATGCACTGCCCTTGACATGTCTGCAAATTGCGAAATGAATTAAACTTTAGATCCGCAGTTACCTATTCCGAGCATAGTGTAATAACACCGGTCTATCGAGGTAAATCGTTCCAAAATTAACCGATTTTATCGTCTTACGTAGAAATCTTCCCATTTTCTCAATTTACTACGAATTTTTTTTCTTTTTTCTCTGCAAATTCAAAACCTCACAATCGAATTTCATCATCAATACTCGAATAAAATTATTTTGACGAGAAAGAAAGAAAAAATTTCGCGATATTGTTTTACACAAACGACGAATCTTGCAAAGATTATTATAATTATATTTATAACTCGATTTTTTATTTCATAAGTTTTATGTAATAAAATAATAGAAATTTTCATTCGTAACATAATTTTTATTGAATAGCTCGAAAAGAACCACATCTACATGCAGCCAAGATTAATTGTTTCATAAAT